TGAAGCCTTCTAGAAACATCCAAATGCAAATACGGGCATACGTCCGAGTCCAAAATCACCATCCGGACCTAACGGAACCATCAAAACTCTGTTCCGAGGTCAAATTCACAAAAGTCAAATTTGATCAACTCTTCCAAGTTAAAGCTTCCTAGTTGAGAATCATTCTTCCACATCAATTTCGAATAACCTGGAAACCCAAACCGACGATTCACACAAGTCATAATACATCATACAGATCTACTCATGCACTCAAACTACCGAGTGAAGTGCAAATGCTCAAAACGACCGGTCAAGTATTTATAATCTACACATGTTCTAATTTTTTTAGGAACAACCACTATGTTAGCTAACCAATCGGGATAATTTACCTCTCGAATTGAATCTATATTCAGTAACCGAGTTACCTCTTTTTTGACAAACCAGTTTCTGACCTCTGCCATCGGTCGTTTCTTTTGCCTTACTGGAGGGAAGTTAAGGTCCAAACTTAATTTGTGGACAACCATTTACAATGGAAAACATGTCATATCTAAGTGAGACCATGCAAAATAATCAATGTTAGTTTTAAGGAAATCAATAATTTTAAGTCTTACTTCGGGGTTCAACCCCGTTCCCAAATGGAATTTCCTTTCTAAGAACTCCGTGAACAAAGCAACTTGTTCGAGCTCTTCTGCGATTGACTTGGTTACATCCGTTTCCTCTGGTACCTGATAGAAATATGATGACTTTTCCATAACCTTCAATCGGGATGGAAGAGGGCACCGATCCCTGTAGTTGTTATTTGTTTGTTCCTTCTGTCTTGCTACTGGACAAGGTAACTGTATTTATTTCTCTTATTGCGAGTTAATCACCTCTGATTTTCTTGATCCCATCTGGTGTTGGGAACTTTAGCAGTTGGTGGTAAGTCCATAACACTGCCTTCATTTCATGAATCCACGACCTTCAAAGGATCAATTGAATCCCATGTCGCCATCTATCACTTAGAACAAAGTGGTCTTTGTTATACCTTCGACATGCATGGGCAGTAAAATCTTTCCTCGGGTCGTTACACTTGTTATGTTAAACCCGACCAGAAGCTTTGTTGCTAGAACAATGTTTTCGGTAAACTTTGCTTGCTCCAAAACTCTCTATTGAATGATAGTGGGTGAACTACCTAGATCAACCAACACACGTATAATTTTAAAATCTAAAATATTAAGCGGTATTACCAGAGCATCGTTGTGTGGTAAAAGAAGGCCATAGATATCTTCTTCCATGAAGGTGATTTCATCATCTTCTGATGCTTCTCGGATCCTCTTGCCATGAGTTACCAATATCTTTGTCTTCTTTGCTTGTGAAAATATTACTCCAATTACTTTATCACCAACAAAGATCATGTTTATCGTTAAGCGAGGTGACCCTGTTGTTGGTTTAGCTAGTCCCACAACATCTCGATTCCTTCCATAATTACTTTTGGCACGATCACTTAGAAATTCTCTAAGGTGACTATTCTTCGATAACGCTGCAAACTCTTCACGAAGATGCCGACAGTCCCCAATCCTGTGGTCATTCATTCCATGGAATTCACACCATAGATTAGGATCCCTTTGACTAGGATCCGTTCGAGTTGATTTCGGAAATCTGGCCTCCTAAATGTTTCTCAGAGCCTAAACCAGTTATACTAAGCTGATACTGAAGTTATAATCGGATAACGGGGGGGGGGGGGGTATGCTGAATCCCGGGACCCCGATGTTCCCTTCTCCTGTAAAGCTCTGCTACTCCGACCATGATCCACCCTTCTATCAAAAGCAAACCTATCCGATGACTGAAATAATTTATTTTCACGCCCATCAACCCTTTTGTAAGGGTGAAAACGACTCTTGGAAGACCTCCGATCTACGTCGAAATTAGTTTTGAACTTTTCCTGATTTAGATCGAGATTGTGACCTTTAGATGACACCGAAGAACTCACTTGATCATCCTCAATTCTGATGTTTGATTCATAACAATTATGGACATATACCTATGTAGCCGATTTAAATTCCAACAGGCTTTCTTTCAATTTCCAGGAAGCATCGAAGCTTAGTGGATTGAGATCTTTGGTCCCGCTTTAGCTGCCCACTCATATGGTACTGCTGGCAACATCATCCTTTCCTTTTGAAATCGGATTACGAACTCTCGCAATAGTTCAGACTCTCTTTGAGGGATTCTGAATATATCTGCTTTCCTAGTCTGGACTTTCCTTGCTCCATCATGAGTTTTAATGAAAGAATCTGCAAGCATTTCAAAAGAGTCAATCGAATGCTCAAGTAAAAGAGAATACCATGTTAAAACACCTTTCGTTAGGGTTTCGCCAAATTTCTTCGACAAGACAGATTCAATCTCGTGCGAGGCCAAGTCATTTTCCTTTACAGTCGTAATGTACGTTGTGATATGCTCTTGTGGATTCGAAGTCCCATCATACTTCAGAATATCAGACATCTTGAATCTTTTCAGAAGCAATTTCGGGGCCGCACTTGGTTTGAACGGCAATTGTGCATACTTTTTTGAATCTAGTCCCTTCAACATCGGTGGTGATCTAGGGATCTGATCCATACGAGCATGGAGTTCTTTAGTATTTTGGTTCATTTCATTCATTCATTTCCCTCATGAATCTCATGAGCGTAGTTTTTAAAGGATTGTTAGCTTTGTTTTCATTCCCCGATCCACTACCTGCACCACCTACCTCATTTTCATTAAAACTGAACTCCTCCCTTGAAGCGATGTTGCCTGTCTTTGCACTGTTTGATTTTTAGGCACGTTGGAGGAACTCGAACTCCCCCATTGGAGTTATTGGAAGCAACCAAAAGCGCCTGCTTCAACTTCGTCATCACCCGATCTTGTCGTGAGAGATAAATCATAATTTCCGTTTTGTTGTGCACTCAAAAATTTGATCGTTTCAACAACACGTTCATTGTCCATATCGTCAGGATTTGGACTCTTACATGCCGAGGATTTCGTTCTTCGCGAACCGGAGTTGTTTCATCTTTATCGTTGCGACTTTCACTAGTTGAATCATCACGCTGGAACACATCCTCACGCTCGTTGTTTGTTCCAACATTGTAAGAGTTATTCACATCGTTAGCTGCCATATCTGATTTTTCTTTTACTGAAGAAAAGTGTCAAACTACGTCAGTAATAAATAAATGGATCAAAGTAATAACACAATTATCTATGCCCCACGGTAGTCGCCAAGCTGTTTGTCCCTAAAACGGTACAATTGAATTTGTATCGTAGTTTATAGACACGTGAATTATTTTGATCCAATAATATAAAATAATTAAGAACAGAAATAAGTTAATGAAAACAAATTAAAAGAAAACACAACCCTGACTATGGACTGAGCTTCTCCGAAAGCAATGGCTAGAACAATATGAAGAACAAAGTAAATAATATTGATTTATGTAATAAGAGCTAGTTTTGCCTTTTTTTGTACACAGAATGTTTCGTGTCTACAATGAATATAAATTCTCGTATTTATAGCTCTATTCAGGGGAAAAAGATCCCAAAATCAAGCCCTTCTTTAATACGAAATAAACCCCTCTTGATGGCTGAATAACGACTGGGTATTAATGAAAAGATTCCTTGTAACGACTGCTCATTGAATGCTACATTTCCCAACCGATATCTTCCCTTCAAATCTTCGTCCTCGTTAGGTAGCTGGTTAGGAGAAAAGTTGTCCATGTATTGGGGGCAATATAACTTATACAATATTTGGTAGCCATTAGTTATTTTGTACAAAATTCAGCATAACTAATACCATGTTTGGTTGTCATTTTGCAATTCTACATAAATAATACATGTCTAAGTTATGAGTCAATCTGTGTACTATTTTATGCGGGTAGAAGATGGAATAACTAATACATGTATTAGTAATACATGGATAAAATATAAAATTAACAAATTTACCCCTATCACTTTACACATAAAGGCTTCCTTCGATAGATTGATCTGTATCAAATCCTTTGGAGAGCAAGCATGGAGATACTGATACCTCACTACTAGGCTCTTCCTCTTTTCAATCTATTAGAAACAAAATTAATAAATAATTATTTTACTTCAAAATTTATATAATGTATATCAATTTCTAATATAATAAACTAAATATTAAAAAAATAATCCATGTGTAACTAATCCAGATATCTGCATTACTTATTCCTACATAACTAATACATGTATAACTAATACCTGCATAACCCTAACCAGCAACCAAACTACCCCTTAATATTTTAGTAGGGCTTTCAGTTGCCTGATACCCAATTGATAATTTGGTAATCGGCTAATGGCTGCATCACTCCTTAAGTAATTTTTTTTCTAAGGAAAGAAAATATAACCGGAACATGCAAATGTAAATTCGTTCGCTTTACTGCAGTTTGTTTAGTAGGCATGAGTCCTCGAAAATAGCAAAAGTAAATACACACACACACACATATATATATATATATATATATATATATATATATATATATATATATATATATATATATATATATATATATATATATATATATATATATATATATATAAAATTTCTGCATGATAATGTGCAAGTGTCATGAAAAACCGCGCAATTATAACTCTGAAAAAGCTAATGCGGTAAATAAAAATTTACAATAGGTACTCCTCCAATTGAGATTATATAATAAACAACATTAAGAGCCTGTTTGGATGGGCTGACCAGCTTTTAAGCACTTTTTAACTTTTAGTAGTGTTTGGTAATCAAAAAAAGCGCTTAAAAAAGTTAAAATCTACTTAAAAAAAGCCAAAAGCAAGAAGTTGGGTAAACCCAACTTTTTCGAAATTGGCTTAAAAGCTACATTGCTTTGACCAATGATATTACATTCTTATCCCTTGATAAAACAATTTCTTCCACTTCTGAATCCCAAACAATTCGATTAGGAGTCAGTACTCTAAGATTTAAGGTCATTTCTTCAAATTGCTCTCAATTTCTAAGTTCATAGTCTTCGCGGTAGCTTCATCGATATTACCTACCAAATAAAAGACATGTTCAGGAAGACCATCTACCAAATAAAAGACATGTTCAGGAAGACCATCTAATTCTCCGGAAAGGATCAATTGAAATCCTCGAATTGTTTCTGCTAGACCAACATATTTTCCTGGAGAAATTTTTCTTAATCCCGAAATTACCCCTCAGTAAAAACCCTAAAACATACGATATCTTTCTTTTCTCCCTTCCTGTTGCACTCTGCGTTCTTTCTTCCTCTTCTTGTTGCAGATTCTCCCCAACTTCAGTTCCAATTTGGAAGTATCTTCAGTCCAGTAAGTTTAATCTTCCCGTTGAATTTCAATTCCTAGTATGTTTTCAAAGTTTTGGATTAAATTTGATGGAAACCCCCTTTTTATTTGGCTTTTTCTTGGGTTTTAAGTCTTTGAAGTTTGAACACAAGGAGGGTATCGTTTTAGGAAATTTGTTTTTTCTTTTAATGAGGATTTATGCAAAGCTACAAGTTCAGATATTTGATTAACTTTTAGGAGCCATAATTCATGTATTAAAGGAAACAATTGCCACTTATTTTTTCCAACTTTTTCCTTTTCTGCTTGAATCTAAGAATTTATTCCAGTTGCTATTCTTTAGTTTCTTTGCAGTCTGCTGTTAGCTTCTGCAGAATGACTCATGTTTCCTGCTGCATAAGAACTTCAGTTAGCATTAGAGCTTGCCTCTTATTGCATGAACACAATTTGATCTAAATGCCGGCACTAAATTGATTAAAACATATTTGGAATTGCTATAGGTTGGCGCAATACCTATTTTTTTTTGTTAAACTCAGACATTTTGACATGGACTTAAAAACGAAAGACTTTCCTTGATTCTACTAAACCAAGTCCTTGAACACCAGCAATTATAAATTTTTACCTGTAATTTCATCTCTTCCTTAGCTACATCTCAACCTTTGTATTTGGGTATTCCTATCATCCAGAAACTCTGTAAATGATCTTGTAAATCTCAAAACTTAACATGGAATTTTATAAATATTAAACTAAAATTCCATGTTAATAAGATGGGAAAATTTGTTGGCGAAGCTGAGGTAGAGTCCAATTTTTGGTTTGTTCCTTTCAATAGTGCTTGCTATCGTAAGCTCATGGGGTCATTATCAAAGATGGTGGACTGTTTGTATTTTGGGTCTCAAGCAATTTTATTTCTTGAACAAGAATCTGGAGGAATTGACAATTTTGTCTGGAAAGTAATTGTAAATAAGCTAGATGCTGATTTCATGCTTTTCAAAGATTTTATTGGCTCTTTTATGAAATATTTTGAGGTAGGGTATGGTGTTTGTTGCTAATGGTTTGCTCCTAGAACCTAGATTTTAATATGTGTTTTACATTTGCATGGGCTGGGTGGAAAGGAGCAGCGCATGATAGTCGTATATTTGGTGAAGCCCTTCGTAGACTGGAACTTAACTTTCCACGTCCAATTGAAAATAAGTATTATCTAGTTGATGCAGGATATCCTCACATGAAGGGATATATGGCTCCATACAAAGGAGATAATGTGAGATATCACCTAGCACAATTCCGCCGCGGCGCAACAAGACAATTGCGAGAGCCAAGAGCGCGAAAATTTAACTATTTGTATTCTTCTTGTAGAAATATTGTAGAGCGCACATTTGGGGTTTGGAAAGCAAGATGGTCTATTTTGCGAGACATGCCTTTCTATCACATTGACACTCAAAGAGACATCGTACTTGCTACTATGGCCATTCATAACTATATTAGAAAGAAATGCAATATGGATGATACATTCCGAGCAGTTGAGAATGAGAGATATGTTCCATCTGTTGATCCTGATGTTGGTACATCTTTGAGAGCTAATAACAATATAAATGCGAAAAATGTGGAAGAGCAAAGTGATCTTGTTTGGATGGGTCTCCGCGATTTGATTGCTAATGAAATTTGTGAAGCTTGATACTTGTAGTTGTATGAATCTTTTAAAACACTAATATTTATTATTTCACATTCCAATTGAGAAATGTTATTTTGTTTCGTTCTCTTGAAATATGCATATAATGACCTAACATTCTATAGAATTTGAGAAATCAGTGTAACTATAATATGGAATTCAAATCTATAACTTCAATTGACTTCGAATTATTACCAATTTAAGTTTGTGATTGACTACTGTTGCAGCAGTGTCTGAGCCAAGGGAAGAAATATCAATTAGATTCTCATACAGATATACACAAAGCAATTTTTTTTTAATTGACAAACAAATAAAAAAACATCTTAAGTAATCATTTAAATTGAAATTAAATTAAAATATAAATTATTTTTATTTGCATTAATTATGAATCAAATATATTGTAGTAATCAGCTCCTTTTATAATGTTAACAGCTTTAAGGATATTTCTGTCTTTTTTAACAGAAAAAAGTTCTTACCAGCACTTGTTTACCAAACACTTCAACAATTTTTTTAAACGTTTCAGCACTTTTATCCAAACAGGCAACTGCTTATTATAAAACAAGTTTCAGCACTTAAAAGCATTTTTTTACCGGCTAATCCAAACGGGCTCTAAGTACATTCTAAATCTGCCTTTTTATCTTTTATACAGATGTACAATGCTAGATACTTGTAATTCCCTGAATAAATCTTACTCCCTTCAAGTAATAAATTCAACACCTAATAACCCACAAAAAAGATTTAAAAAAAAAAAAAAGAACCTGGTTTAAACTAAGAAGCAACGAAATATACTGCATTAATTAAAAGGCTTTTTGAGAGAAATCATGAAGTCTCTGCCACGATTCTTCTCGTTGTATTTTTAACTGCATGTAGAAATTCCCAATAAATGTTTCAGCTTTATTAAACAACTCTTGCCCACTAACTTCCCCAATCTCCTCATCTTCTAATTCTTGACCTCATGATCTTTTGCTTCACTATCCTCGCTACCAATGAAAAACAAGCTCGGCGTTGAAGAACATTTTAGTAATTTCACTGCATCATTCTCCAGTACTTTTGTAACACATTTTTCAACTACGCTAGGGGAAATTATTTGTGGTTGTTTAATAATAATATCAGGAGATGAAGACGTGTTGTCATGTGGGGATTTGGAGGAAATGAGGCCAGCTTCAGCACCTAAGGCGATGATGAGAAGGTTAACTATGAAATAAAGATAAGGAGTTTTATGAGATGAGGATAGTAGAGGAGTTATGAGTACAAGGGTGGCTATGAGTAAAAGCTTTACAATTACTTGGGATTTCATAATCTTGTCCATAGAGGTATTTCTTTTTTCCTTCTTTATTTAAAAGGATGTTGCAGCTATGAATGTTGGAGATGGCTTGATATAGAGGTAGGTTGATGAGACAATATAGAATTATAGTTTCAGGTGGTAATAGTATAGGGGTAGGGGCCAACCTTCTTATTTATAACGAAAGATGAAGTGTTTAAAAAGGTTGTTACTTGTCTTTATCCAATTTATTTTAGCCCTACTAACTATGTTAATTAATAAGAAAACAATAAAAAAAAAGAGAGAATTGTATTTTGCATATCTTAATTATTTGCTTTAAGACTTAAATTTTTTGTATATATATTCTTGATGGCCTCTGTTTATACCCAAAAGTAACATCAGTTGTCTATACACTTGGAATTATCTTTCTTTCTTGGACTGGTCAGGCTCAGGCATGAATCAAGTCGGACATTGCCATTAATTTTCATCTTCGTGTATTGACAGATAAATAATACTCCTACCCTTTATAAAATTAATGTCCTTTCTTTTTGAGAACTTGTATCAAAAGTTTTGTTCCAGAAATCTCCTTAATAAATAGTGGAAGCAAGAACGTTGACTGGAATGGAAAACGTGTCGAGCCAAGAACCCCCAAAAAAATCTGTGTCACGTAGGTTCAAATTCCTTTTCCAACAGTAATAGAAGAAAGTTGTTTAAAGTTCAAAAAATAGCCAAACCAAAGAGTACTTCTTCTCAACAAATAATTTAATCATATTTAGGACGTCGTTCTCCTCTTTATTACAATATAGTTGACTTTTCTTCGTGTAAAACGGATTCAACAGCTCACATATTATCAAAAATATCATTTTTACCTTATTTGCATGGTGTAATTTTTGATAATGGAACTTTGATTGACCCCTTCCCTTCTACTTAATTTCGCCCTGCCCGAGAAATTTTCCGCATTACTATTTCTTTTGTTTTCAAAAAGAATGAACCTATTACAATTGGAGAATCAACCAAAGTTTTCTTTGGCTATTTTTTTTTCTAAGTAGATTTTAAATATTTTAAATTATTAATTATTGTGACTTGTAATATTTTTTATGCAATTTTTAAATATGTAAATTTATTTTAAAAATCTTTAAGAATCATATCGAAATTCATACGAAAATTAGTTAATTTGACTTAATACTCCGAAAAAATTCAAACAAATTGATGAGCGAGTAATAAACTATAAGCCTTGCTAAAATTTCATTTCTTGATTTCTTAAGGGAGATATTCTACAAGGTAGTGGTTAGATATGGGGCAGAATGCTGGCCAGTCAAGAATTCCCATGCCCAGCAGATGAAAGTAGTTGAAATGAGGATGTTGAGATGGATGTGTGGGCATACTAGATTAGATAGAACGGATAAGGGTTAAAAATGCCCCTAAACTATTGAAAAAGGTTTAAAAATACCCTTCATCCACCTATTGGGCTAAAAATATCCCTCCATCTATCTTTTTGGTTCACTTATGCCCTTTGACCGTTAGATCAAAGGGCATAAGTGAACCAAAAAGATGGATGGAGAGGTATTTTTAGCCCAACAGGTGGATGAAGGGTATTTTTAAACCTTTTCCATTAGTTTAGGGACATTTTTAACCCTTTTCCGTAGATAGAATTAGGAATGAAGTTATAGGGGACAAGGTGGGAGTGGCCCTTGTGGAGGAAAAGATGCGAGAGGCGAGCCTGAGATGGTTCGGGCATGTTAAGAGGAGAAGCACAGATGTCCCGGTCAGGAGGTGTGAGAGGTTGGCCTTGGGAGGTAAAAGGAAGGGTAGAGGTAGGCCAAAGAACTCTTTGGGAGAGGTGATCAGGCGGGACATGGCGCAACTTGAACTAACCGAGGACATGACACTAGATAGGAGGGTGTGAAGGTTGAGGATTACGGTAGAAGGTTAGTAGGTAGTCGTGCGTTTCCCTTTGTCTTTAGTAGTTCGTTAGTGTTAGTGTTAGTATAGTACCCTTTTACCCTGAGTTTGCTATTTTCGCATATCTTGTTCTGTTATTAGTTGTCACCAATACTTTCTTAGTTTGCTATCAATGCTCCTTTCATATTCTCTATTGCTATCAGACCTCGGATTTAGTTTCTTTAAATAGATTGTCTTGCTATTACTTGCTACTAGTATACGTACCCGCGCGATGCGCGGATTGTTTTAAAGGAAAAAACTGATATAGTAGAAACAGATCTATATGGTAGAATAAATTTAGCAATCACATTCAAAAGAATTAAATCGAAAAACAATATAGTATGAATTTCATAGGATTGTATCTATGCCGGGGACTTCATAGGATTGTATCTATGCTAGGGACAACCGATATTTATGCATTCACGCAAAGTTCAAGGATAAAATTTGTATCCAATTCAAAATAAAATCAATATAGATAATCAAGAAAAGAGCAGTCTTACATTTTTCTTTGGAGGGGATTGAAGTTCATTTCCTTCACAAAATAAGGACAGTAAAAGCTTCTGCGTCAACTTATTCAATACCCTTCCCATCGTCCGGAGTATAACGAATCATCGCTTTTGCTCCTACTGAAAATACCAATATTTTCATTAACTTTTGCATTAAATATTGTGTCTCCCACATGGTGTCATACTTGTGCATCTTCCCAGCCAGCAACTACTGCTTTTTGCTTCGATGTTTCAGCTACTTTGCCTGAATATTCCCATAAATGTCATAACCTATTCCAAATCTTGATACAAAATCTCCTATTCCCACCACAATTGTACTTGGTGCCATGACCAACTTAGAGTATCTCAAATCTAAGTTGATGTTACAAAATATGGTCCTATCAAGTTATGGCAAAATAATTTTAATTGCTTGTACAAATTAGATCTAGTAGCATTGAGATCAATACTAACTGCAAGACTCCAACGCTCTCACCAGACCTAAGGTGAAATGTGCTCTCACTTATCCTAAATATTTTTCTCCCTTGGAAGACAAAGCAAATTTAATAACACACTATTTGGTGGAAGGCTCTAATTCCTACGTGTATTCAAAGACTTTGAAGGGTACATCTGTGCCTTCATATAAATATTATGGTTATTTGCTTCATAGTAAGAATGGTACACCGAATGTTTTGTCACCTGTTTGTAGTTACTGTGAACTTTATTATGAAGGTCCAGGAAGAAATATGTTGTGGGTGCCCATTTTTGGCAGCAGGGAGCAACACGAGAGAGTTTCTGAGGATTTATCCTCGGACGGCACTGCATAATTAGATGATGTATCATATTGTGCAGAACTCATATCGGGCAAGAGAACTATTAGAGAAATTATCTATTCTTTCTCCCTCGTAAACTAACCATGAACTGATTCAAATAGTTTGTCCATAACAAATGAAAATACCAAATTAACTAAACAGGAAAAGTTCAATACCAGGAAATAATGAAATGATTCAAACATCTTGTTCATAATTAATAAAACCAATAAACTAACTAATCAGACAGTTCTTAGTTTCTCCAACTGTTACACATGCAAACAACTTATGATGTCTTCTTATTTTTAATACTCTCTTGATCTTATTTTATGATAACTTTGCATTCGAATCTTCTTCAACCACTGCTACAGGATTAGTTATACCTATCTTGGAAACTTTAGCGATAAGCTAAAAATAGAGAACTATTATAAACAGATCTTAACTTTTTTAGTGATTAACTACAACTATCTTAACTTTAATAAACTTATGGGACAGCTAAAAACAGAAAACTATTATCATCCTTTCAAACTTATTAAACATCTCAAGTAAATCTAAAAAGAGCAAAGGCATACAGATATAGCATTAAGCTCATTTGAAATTTAG